AAAAGCAGGCACCGGTGATTCGTCTGGATCCACCATGCATCAAGACAAGAAGCAGCAATCACCCAGTGATTTCATTTCCTTTTGAGATTAACCGTGGCACTGGATTATTATATTTGAAAACCAGTCTTTGGTGGTGTTAATATGATTGGATATTCACTGTGTTTTCAATTATTTTCTCTAAAGGAATCTGAAAACTTTCTCTCTTTGAGGGAGCATTTGAAGTACTATTATTTCAACTTACGTACCTTATTTAAAATTTGAATTGTTCGAATGATACATGTGAATATGTGATGATGCATTTGGCATGTACAGATTGGACATGTCTATTTATATTTGATGTGATTCTTACAATCCACATCGTTACATTGAATCCTAAATGGGCTATTACTTGCCAGTTGCCACATGGAGCACTGATACCAAAACTATTTTGAACCTAAAAATACTTCAATAGTAAGTTGCAATATCTTCCTTTTAATTTATTACTCCGTATTATATTGAATTATTGAGTATTACGTAATATTATTTTTAGCAATTCTCTTTTCTCCAAACTCCAAAGTCAGTGTTACAACTCTTATTTAATAAAACTCCAGCGTTTTCGCTGGTAAAAAAAGTTGTAAACTACTGCGTATTTGATATGGCTGTGTTCTTTTGGTCAATCATATTACAGTCATGCTTGAGAAAAAAATAGTCAAGTCATATTTCAATGCAACTTTATAATTATGGCAGGTAAGAAATCTTAAATCCGTCACTTTTATAAGTTACTTGCGTACTTTCTAATTGTATTTTAAATATATTTCTAGATGTTTCCCATGCTATAATGTCTGTTGGCCACAAATAGACGTGGATCAGGCTTATATAAAATTTCATCAGACTTGTTTCAATCAATAAAAAAACAAAAACAAATTGGACATGTCTATTTATATTTGATGTGATTCTTACAATCCATATCGTTACATTGAATCCTAAATGGGCTATTACTTGCCAGTTGCCACATGGAGCACTGATACCAAAACTATTTTGAACCTAAAAATACTTCAATAGTAAGTTGCAATATCTTCCTTTTAATTTATTACTCCGTATTATATTGAATTATTGAGTATTACGTAATATTATTTTTAGCAATTCTCTTTTCTCCAAACTCCAAAGTCAGTGTTACAACTCTTATTTAATAAAACTCCAACGTTTTCGCTGGTAAAAAAAGTTGTAAACTACTGCGTATTTGATATGGCTGTGTTCTTTTGGTCAATCATATTACAGTCATGCTTGAGAAAAAAATAGTCAAGTCATATTTCAATGCAACTTTATAATTATGGCAGGTAAGAAATCTTAAATCCGTCACTTTTATAAGTTACTTGCGTACTTTCTAATTGTATTTTAAATATATTTCTAGATGTTTCCCATGCTATAATGTCTGTTGGCCACAAATAGACGTGGATCAGGCTTATATAAAATTTCATCAGACTTGTTTCAATCAATAAAAAAACAAAAACAAATTGGACATGTCTATTTATATTTGATGTGATTCTTACAATCCACATCGTTACATTGAATCCTAAATGGGCTATTACTTGCCAGTTGCCACATGGAGCACTGATACCAAAACTATTTTGAACCTAAAAATACTTCAATAGTAAGTTGCAACATCTTCCTTTTAATTTATTACTCCGTATTATATTGAATTATTGAGTATTACGTAATATTATTTTTAGCAATTCTCTTTTCTCCAAACTCCAAAGTCAGTGTTACAACTCTTATTTAATAAAACTCCAGCGTTTTCGCTGGTAAAAAAAGTTGTAAACTACTGCGTATTTGATATGGCTGTGTTCTTTTGGTCAATCATATTACAGTCATGCTTGAGAAAAAAAATAGTCAAGTCATATTTCAATGCAACTTTATAATTATGGCAGGTAAGAAATCTTAAATCCGTCACTTTTATAAGTTACTTGCGTACTTTCTAATTGTATTTTAAATATATTTCTAGATGTTTCCCATGCTATAATGTCTGTTGGCCACAAATAGACGTGGATCAGGCTTATATAAAATTTCATCAGACTTGTTTCAATCAATAAAAAAACAAAAACAAAAAACTAAACTGATGCTCCGTGTTAAACTTGAATGTTTTTTATGGAAGAATGTTGTTAAATATTGCTTTTTCTTGAAAACAAAACTCATCTACTCGTAAAAGAATCAATCTTATTACTAAAGTAGTCCTGTTTTAAAGACAAAATAAGAATATTTTTCTATATTAATGATTTACTCCTTGCAACAATTCCTTCAAAACAAACATGGTCTTTGAAGACCTGAGTAATTAGAGATGTTGAGGGCAAGGATTTATGCAGGGCCGGCCCTGGCCCTGTGCAGGCAGTGCGGCCGCACAGGGCCCAATTCGGAGCTAGGGCCCATATTTTTAGTTACCCTTTGAATACTCCGTAATAATATTTGGCCCTTTCAAGCCAAGGCCCATATTTTTAGTTTGAATGCTCCGTAATAATATTTGGCCTTTTAAGCCAAATATTATTCATATTGCCTAAATCTAAAAAGTTGGTGCAGGTGGGAGTCGAACGTGCATCTCCTAAGGGAAATAACTAGTGGCTTCCCAACAATTACTAAATCATTTATGGCCCAAAAATATTGCTCTCTCAACATAGATTGGTATGAAACCGATCATATGAAGTTGTTAATACAAGAGAAATGAAAACATAAAACAAAGAAATTAAGTGTATCCTTATACCATACTTCTTGCACAGATGAAATCAAACTTTAAATCCACAAGTCTATGTGTTGATTTGAAATTCAATAGAATCACGGTTAGACTTTAAGGAATATCAAGAATAAGAGTGATATTCTACATTAAAGGGGAGACAAAAGGTTAGGTTCTCTTTGTCGAGTTGTTATCCAAATCATACAAATTCTAACATGGATAAAATATGGAAGTACGTCATTTTAATACAACCAAACACGGGTTTCTCATTAACCTTTGTCTTGTTCAGTAGTTCAAGACGATGACATAGCATTTGACTTGATAGTAGTGGGTTACAAACTTACAATGGCTAGCTGAAATGTTGTGCCCAATCATTGATCTAGTCAGATTTCTTAATAGTTTTCATTATGTCGATAAACTATATTAAGACAACTCATTAGGACATTTTGGTAAAGTTGAACTAAATTAGTTGGGGTGAACTATTAAACAAAGTTGTATTCAATCATGTCTTTAGAGTGATGCTAATGTTAGAAACTACTTTGAAATTTATCTCCACAAGAACGAGTGTCAATGAACAACAATTTTTAAATTGAAAGTACTACGTAGTAGCTAAATGTTTGCTATTCTTACATTCATTATTACCACTATACGAGTAATAATTTTGTTCAAGTAAATTTAAACCTAAACCCAAATAATGGCAATATATAACGGATTGTCAATCAAATGACTTAGGGCTTGTTTACCATCAATTAAAAAAAGTGATTTTGACTTTTTTTTTAAAGAAAAAAGCACTTATTTTACCAAACACTATCAACTTTTACTTCCTCGGTTTTCGTGCAGAATCTATTTTTTACTTTTTCTATTACGCAAAAAGCACTTATTTTACCAAACACTACCAACTTTTACTACTAATCACTTTTTCCCAAAAAGTGCTTTTATTTAAGCACAAGTGGTTGCAAACAGAGCCTTAGGGAGTGTTTGCAACAACATAAAAAAATTATCAGTTTTTGGCTTAAAAATGCACTTATTTACCAAACACTACCAATTTTTACTTTTTTTTCGACTTACGTGTGAAAAGTGCTTTTCCCTTTTCTATTACACAAAAAACACTTATTTTACCAAACACTATCAACTTTCACTTTTCAAAATCACTTTTTTCTCAAACACTATCAACTTTTACTATTAATCACTTTTTTTCTTACATCTCCAAAAATGCTTTTTTTAAGCAGAAACAGTTACAAACACTCTCTTTATGTCCTCCACAAGTTAAAATTGAAAAAACAGTACTCCGTAGACTAAAGGGTGTTTGACAATTGGCGGTTGGCTTTTTGCTGTTGGCTGATTGATTTGGCTGATTGCAGATAGCAAATTCAGTTGACTGTTTTGATTGACCGAAAGTATTAGCAGTTTGGAAAATAGTGTTTGGTTAAATGACCGTTTATAATTAGTTGATTATTTGTTAAATGACTTTTATGGACATCATATTTACTAACTAATTTTATACACGTATCATACATTCTGCTATAAATATTGTTGGTACGACTAGTTAAACCAACCATTTTTTTATATAAAAAAAGATTCATTAACGCAAGTTATGGTTCACATGCCATTATCTTTATTTACACCACAATTTCAAATCCTTGTGTCCTGCAACTTAAAATATAAATATAAGAAAACAAGAGTTTTTTGATAAATTAAATCGAACAGCAATTGTAACTTGGGAATAAAAAATTAAAACGATCCCAAAAATCATAGAAACAACATGTACGCTAAAGAAAAAACAAAAATCATAGTACTTGTATTAAATAATATATACGTATCAGATTTCGATAGAGGAAAAAACATCAAGCTTATAAAAATACGGAGTAGCAGTTTCTGATTTCTGTATAATAGTATTGGGAAAATCTGGCGTGAGAGAAGATAATTATGAAAAGAGTGTCCGGCGATCAAGCTCCGTGCGTTGTTTGAGGAGAACTCTTAAGGGTCAGACTTGCGTAGTTAAGTGGGTAGAATAGGGAATCTGAGACTTTAGATGATCGAGGCCAAATCTTAAAGGCTATAATTATTAGCATTTTGGGTTTTGGCTGTTTGAGACAAAAAACTAAATGAAAAAGTCATTTACCAATTCCCTCAAATAGCTGTTTATCCAAGTCAAAAAGCTAAAATATGGTCAAATTAGCCAAAAAATGGCTGATAGACCATTAACCAAACAACCTCTAAGAAAAAAGTACATTAACCTCTAAGAAAAAACGAATCAGCTTACCGTATCTTAGCTCCTTCAATTGAACCGGTTAGACTAATAACCCGAAGCCCAAACCCGGCGCAATGCCAAAGAATTTCAAACCCTACATAAACCCTGAACTTTTTTCCCACAATCTTTTACGGAGTAACATGTTAATGGCGATTTCTTGTTCAACAAGAACCCTCTAAACCCTACTAACCTCATAAAACTTCTCTGACGGTTTTTTCTTACAGAGAGAAGGAATAGAAATTTGTAAAGATCGGAAATGGCGAATGTTAATGCAGCTGGTCTTATTGCAACCATGGCAGCTGCAGCTTTAGGAGCAAAACCTGCTTACGCAGATGGGTCTTTCAGCTTCTCTCCATTTTCACCTTCTACGTCAACGACCCAACCCACTCCTCAGGTTCCGGATGCTGACTCCAGAAATTCGCCACAGCAGCCACCTCCGGCGGAACCTCCAAAACCTCGCAATGATCATCCCAGAACAACATCGGCTGGATTCGACCCAGAAGCTTTGGAGAGAGGTGTCAAGGCTTTGAGAGAGATTAACAAGTCTACCAGTGCAAAACAGGTAACCAATGGATTTAAATTTGTTTATGCTTTAAGAAGAAACTCACTGGCATGCTGGACAAGACGGGAAAGTTATGAACTTTGCGCCCCTTTACTGCTTAGAATTGTTCAATGTAATGAAATTAGTATTTGATAACAAATTCGACTTTTCTTATGGACAAATTTTCTAATGATGTGATTAAAAATATAGTTAGTAGCTTCAGTATTTAGATTTGTGGTGTTCATTTCTGTACACCATAAGGCATTGTTTGTGAATGCACATGCCTCTATTGTGCAATTTCTGCTTAATTGATTTTATAAATTTTTTTAAATGCCACATCTTTTCAGTTGTGTCTATATAGAAGGGTACATGACTACATGAGGCTATGCTTAATTTTAAAGAAAGACTGATTATTTGATTTATTCTAGGTTTTTGAGGTCATAAGAAAGCAAGAGGATACAAAGCAGGCAGAGTTATCTGCAAAATTGGCTGAGTTTAAAGCTTTGCAAGCTCAAGCTGAAACTGTAAGATTTATCTTCATCATGCTTCAGCCCTTTATCATATCATCTACAATTTAATGTGTCTTTTTAGAAAGCAAGTTTGTAATGATCTATGTGCCTTATAATGATATCCGTGTTCCTTACATAAGTTGATTTAGAATTGTCATCTGGCATTATCATAAGATGACAACTATATAGGGAACCTCATGAGGTTTGTCGTTCTGTTTAATAGAATTTTCTCACATGCAGAGAAGTTCATGTTTCGTTGTTTTTTGAAAATTTAACTATTAATGTCCATCCTGATTTCTTTTATTTGATTTACAGTTTGAAAGTTTAAAACAAAAGATTTTTTGTTGATCATATCCTTCATTTGTCTGTTTAAACTGCATTTTTCTGGTGACCAAATCATGTGTCAATGCTGATTGTCCCAGTCTGTAATATATTATTATAAGGAAATGAACAATCTGCAGTGTTAAAAGGATCATACTTAAGTGTGTATGCCTTTATGGCTTTTTATGCTTTTCACAGCAAACAAAACCTCCACTTCGAAATGTATTTTTCATTCAATTTAATAGTTGACTTTCGTCATCATTATGAACACCTTAGTATTTTAATCCCATTTGCGTATGTTGGTGACAAGAAATTTCGACTGTCAAAACCTTTTGTCTTGAAATATAAATTCATGCAAAATTACATGTTGAATGCCTTTCCGCTGCAACCTTCTAAATGAATAATGGAATGAAAGCTCTCTAGTTTTTTTTATCAGACTAGTACCATAAATATTATTATTAAACACTATTGCCGTGTTGGCCAATTAATTAAAATTTTCATTCTAGCCATGATCTTGAAATTTGCAATATTATTCATTTTTTAAGATATCAATTCAACAATTGCAAATTGAGTACAGTTTTAGCCTCCCATGAAGCTAGTCAAAATTGAATGACCTGCACATGTCAGATAATTGGCTCTACTAACACCTCAACTGAACTATATTCCATAGTTAACCCAGTGTCCTGCCGTGGGTTGAAATTGAATACCTATTACTTACCTAATAAGAATTCTGAATTGATGATTTTGAAACAATCTGAGCTTAGTTACTTGAGCATATTATTAAAACATGCAAGCTTCTTGGTTCACAGGAGAGGCAAAGAGTGATATATGATGAACAGAAAAAGCTAGCTCAGCAACAGGCTCAAATTAAGTCACAGATGGCTCGTTATGAAGATGAGCTAGCAAGGAAACGGATGCAGGCATGTGATGATTTCTTTCACAATCCGTTCAGATTGAAACTTGGTCAGTTAGCAGTATTTATAACTTTTTCCTGCAAATTTTGTAGGCAGAAAATGAACATCATAGAGCAAGGAATCAGGAATTGGTAAAGATGCAAGAGGAGTCGGCTATGAGACAGGAAGCAGCCAGAAGAGCAACGGAAGAGCAAATTCAAGCACAACGCCGGCAGACAGAGAGGGAAAAGGAAAAGATGAAACAGGAAACTATCAGAATACAAACTTTAGCTGAAGCAGAAGGAAGAGCGCTTGAAGCGAAGCTTGCTGAAGATGTTAACAGGAGACTGCTACTAGAACGTGCAAATGCAGAAAGAGAAAAATGGGTCTCAGCTATAAACACAACCTTTGAACATATCGGAGGTATATTCCTAAATCCTGATGAACCTTAAAGCAAGTTTTGTTTGCAGAACTTGCTAAAAATACATCATGCTAACAGAAGAGTACTACTTTCTCTTTCGAATAATGTGATTATTTGAATAGTCCAGTGTAGTTTTTAACTATATAAGTTTTATTTACTACACTAAATTCCAGCTTCCTTTGATTGCTGGAGGATAACTTGTGGAAAACGTTTTCCTAGGTGTATTTTTTCCCAAGAAAATATGTTCTTCTGTGTATAATATATTGCTAAGTACTTCAGTCTTCAAAATTAGAAAAACATTTCACTGTTTTGGGAAGGATTTTTCCACAAAAGTTCAGAGAGTTATGGAAAAGGGCCAAACACGTGAAAATCATTACTGTGAAGTGTTTTCCTGTGCTAAACACATGAAAATCCAGAAAACGTTGTCTACAAAAATGTTTTCTCTTAAATATCACAAAAGTTGAGTTGGAAATAGATTTGGTCAAGCATTGTTCATAGGAACTAGACACCACCTTTTTGTGAGGGAGTAATAAAATGGGCACATATTTTGGAATTTTGAGGGAAGCTGTCCATTTTTGCAGGAGGGTTGCGTGCAATATTAACTGATCAAGATAAGTTGGTTGTGGCTGTTGGTGGTGTGACAGCCCTTGCTGCCGGTGTCTACACGACAAGGTATGATGAATCACAATCTTTAATAGAATCGGTCATGTATTTGAAGTTATGGTTGGAGATTAACTCCTATCTTAGTTAAATGAACTCATTCCTATTTATTTTCCTTTTTTTCAATCCCAGAGAAGGTGCTAGAGTCATTTGGAGTTATGTGGACAGAATATTGGGACAGCCATCATTGATCAGAGAATCATCCAGGGGGAAATACCCTTGGTCGGGTTTCTTTAAGCGTGGCTTGAGCACTCTTTCTAAAGGTGGATCTTCATCTCAGGCTGAAAAGGGGCTTGAGGATGTTGTTCTTAACCCCTCTCTTAAAAAGAGAGTTTCTCAGCTTGTTAGGACTATGACTTTTACAAAGGCACATCAGGCACCATTTCGTAATGTCCTATTCCATGGCCCTCCTGGGACGGGGAAGACGTTAGTTGCTAGGGAGATTGCTCGTAGCTCTGTAAGTGATATTTGACCTTAAGGTCCTATTCCGAATACGGGAAGGGCTGGGATTGGAAAAAAACAAATGATAGGATCAAACTCAATAAATGTTCAGAAGCATTTTATTTATATATTTTACATACTTGATCAATCACACTATTTATATATTTCTATTATTATATAATAATAACTAGGAAATCACAATGAAACCATCAAAATAATACAATCATATTTTTCATTCCATTGCACTTTCCAAGGTAAAGCCTAACATGCCTTAAAGCACTCAGGACCTCGGGATAGCCCAATTTAATGTACACTCAATGGTGTATGTGATTGGAATGTTTATTTGGTTCTTGGTGAACTCTTGTCATCTATTCTGATGTATGTTTCTAGGGGCTTGACTATGCACTGATGACGGGAGGTGATGTAGCGCCACTTGGTCCTCAGGCTGTCACCAAAATTCATCAACTGTTTGACTGGGCCAAGAAGTCCAACAGGGGCCTGCTACTATTTATTGATGAAGCGGATGCATTTTTATGCGAGTAAGTAGTAATGTAGTATTGCCTGTTATATTTTATCCCTGTGTGATTTTTATATTTCCCCCATATACAAGGATTCCGTCATTTTACCTGTACTAATTATGGATTTGAATAGTGGATAATGTTTATGTGCTTTATATGGATACATAGTAATACATCTAGAGTTAGCATAACCATGGAGAAACCATAAAATAGAACACTCTCTCCAAGCGAGAGCCTGAGAGGAGAGCGAGAGGAGGTTTGAAATAGATCTAATAACATGTCTGGCAAGACATGAAATGCTGAAGTGTTATAAGTTGTTGAATTAAATTAATCATCTGGGAAAAAATTATGTAAATTCTATATGCACAGGTATCAATATTTTAAGTTGAGCTAGAAATAATTCCCACGCTAGTTTTTTAAAATCAGATGTCAATCAGTTGGTGTTTGGTGAAAAAACTTGTTTATATGTTGAAAATCAATCCTATCAAAACTGCAAAACACTCTCTATTTATTGCCAACGGTTCTTTTCTATTGTGAACTTGTGAGTTTTGCTGGAATTCCCGAGGAACTATTTCTGACTGTTGAGGACTGTTGTGATTTTGTGAACTCCAGGAGGAACAAAACATATATGAGTGAAGCTCAAAGAAGTGCCTTAAATGCCCTTCTCTTCAGAACTGGTGACCAGTCCAAAGATATAGTCCTTGCTCTAGCAACAAACCGCCCAGGCGATCTCGATTCAGCGGTCACAGACCGTATAGATGAAGTTCTAGAATTTCCACTCCCGGGCCAAGAAGAACGCTTTGAGTTGCTCAAACTTTACATGGACAAGTACATAGCTCAAGCCGGGGCACGGAAGCCGGGCATTCTTTCCCGGTTCCGGAAACCAACCCAGAAGATAGAGGTCAAAGGTTTGACTGATGATATTCTGAAGGAAGCTGCAGCAAAGACACAAGGGTTTTCTGGGAGAGAGATTGCCAAACTGATGGCAAGTGTTCAAGCTGCTGTTTATGGTAGCGAGAAGTGTCTTTTGGATCCGAGTCTCTTTCGTGAAGTAGTGGATTACAAAGTTGCAGAGCATCAACAAAGAAGGAAGTTAGCTGCTGCTTCTGGGGATGGGAAAGGTCTTTGATATTTCTAAGCATCGTTGATTTTGAATTAGATATTTAAATATTTTATTTTAGTAAGATGAATTAGCATACGTATGTATATGCTATTGAGAAATCATCATTCTTGTTCCTCAAAGATGCCTATATTCATTTCCCTTTATGGAATTTTGATATTCAGGAGTCCTCATTAGGAGCATGACCTTTTTTTGGAAGTATGCTCTTAACTTTAATGGACAGCTTTAGCTCACTGTATCTTAGGCTACATAGGTAATAAATATGGAGTATATTTGTTGCTTCATTTGCTGGATGCCTGTATCTACGGACTACGATTCCAATAGCAATCACATAAGCATTTTCTATAAAGGTAAGATATGACATACTATTAGTAGCGTGTTTGGTTTGTAAAATGTAAGATCACCTTTCACTTAGTATGGTGAGACCGTGAGATTACGGGAATGTAAAATTACTCGATATGTTTAGTTGATTTTGTAAACAAGTAATTAATTTGTTTAAAGGTAGTAGATAAAGGTGTGCTGAACTACTGATATTATCTAGAAAGTCCAGAGCAATAGCGTTACTCTCATAGTCTCATACTCTCATTATATACTCGTTTTCTTATATGGCAGTAATTAGTATTTAGTAATATATCATCATTTATAATCTTAAAACTTGAACTAAACAAGTAAAATCTTATGTCCTCTTGCCTCTAGCATTTTACATAGAGGTGGATCCGGTTGCGGTCACAATCTGTGCTAGGGGAAGACCGGGTCCGACCTTGTTAAATTCCGGTCTGGGCCAGTTCTGAGTACCCGGGCGGTCTGGTCCCAGAGCCGGACCAGGTCAGGTTACATATTTTTTTCATTTTCACGGTAAAAGTAATTAGTGGGGCTGGGCCTTGAACTGCCCAATCCGGTCCTCAAAACTCAAGTCCTGGGGCCGGTTACCCAGTCTTGAACCGGGACTGGAAAAAGGACCCGGTCCGGTCTCAAACAGAGACGGACCAGGCCCACCCCTAATTTTACAACTCCAACTGAATGAGATAATAGAACATTACTTTCCTAACATAATTCCTCTTATTAAGGAACTCAACAGCCTCATATTTCCTTAAGGCTTAAGCCATCCAAGTTAGCATTGTAAGCTTATGGATTATTCAGTATATTAACAATAATTATGATGAATCAGATATAAGTTCACCTAGGCAATGTTTTCGCCTTTTGGAGGGCATTAAAGATAATTATTGCATTATAGTTAGTAAAAGATAACCTCCAACCGGACTAGATCATGACACATTCCAAGTTTCCAACTGTTTTAACCAAGCACATCCCTGCAATCAAACATTTTTCATTTGGATCGAGTCAAACAGCCCCTTAAGGATTCATTTCCATTTTATGTTCGACTAAATAATTGAACTCTACTGTTCTCATCCACATAGTAATAAAATATTCACTTAAACACAACAATTCATGTTCATAAAGACATAATATAGTTGTTATTACAGACGGCCACCATCCATTTGCAGTATTAAAAAGAGGTTCGCAGTCCACAGTTGATAAGAGGACGCAGTCCTGTTTCATTAGGGCAGTTGCATAAGAAGAAAAATGGTTGATTTTCAGCATCTCAATGGTGATGACCACTGTGATCTTGGATATAACGTAAGCCGCAGTACTTGCAAATCGCGGGTGAATCCAGATCAAGGCATATGTACTCAATTGGATGTCCAAGTGCAGGGTTACTATCTGCATTGCGAGAGAACATTTCAAAACATAAAAAGTATACATACACTCTCACAAATGATTAGCAAGAGGAATTGGTATCTGTGAATACCTCCTTCACAGGCAGCAATCCTGCCATTCACCTTCAATGGCGGAACTTCATTGATCAACTCCATTGGAGATTTTTTGCTCATATCCTACAGAATAGATCACCAGAATAACCACAAAGAAAACGATTTCTTCATTGTATTCGAAATGCAAATGACAACTAAAAGGTGGGTGGTCAAAATTCAAAACAAATTATCCTCCCTCCATCCAAAATGTCATGTTTCAAAATCCACTTTGCCCCATGAGAAACAACTTTTAAAAGTTAACTTTCAATTTTATTATCTTGGTAATAAGTTTTAGGGGTAAAATTAGCCATTCATAACTTGTAAGTTGTAAAAGCTTGTAGTCTGATTGAGTTTGACTATAAATAAAATTTGTACCTTACCCAAATACGATCATTTCTTGGGGGCAGCAGGAGTATCATACAGAACAAAGGATCAAAGATAAAAACACAGGAACGACCTATGTTCAAAGTCCTGCCTAGACCCGTCTACAACCCATTTAAGAATTAGGGATCCCTTGGCTGCCATTTTTTGTGTATTGACCCTGCCATATCTTGCCTATTATCCATCTGACCCTAGTGTTTCTTAGAATATATGTGGAACATAATAGTACGTTTACCATTATTTATTGTGCATAATATGAGAGTGAGAAACCAAGCATTCCAACCCAGCTGGTTGTGAGGTTATCGTGCCTAATGGAAGGTCTCGAGTTCGAAACCCGCTAGGCACATAAGGGTTCGAAATTCAATGGAGTGAGTTTCAACCCTGATTACTCCACGCTCCCCCCAGTACCCCACCCCCAGACCCCCTGGAGTAAAAAAAAGAAGAAGAAAAAATATAATATAATATATATATATATATATATATATATATATGAGAGAGAGAGCCCATAAGCTTCACAAGTTAGCCAGTGGGATGCAATTTATAGTGCAAAATTCCGAAATTACAGTAAATGAGCTAAAGTGTTATGATCAAGATAGATGGTGTGCAGTGAACCTTGCGGTTAGAACTGAAATATGTAAACTAAGAAGAATACAACAACAACAACACCCGAGTGCCGCAATACACTAAAAGAAGAATAAAATAATGAAAATAATACAGGATACAAACCGTAAAAGGATGTAAGGCCAGCTAGCATATGATGGATCATAATGAGAGGCTGACTATCTTAGATTTTTTTCTCCCCCTTCTACATTCAACTTATTCATCATCTAAAAACACTTAAAAGCCCTTGCTATTGCTAAAAACAAGGAGTCTTCAATTTTAAGAATTTAATCAATAAAAGACAGTTCTCTTATATATATACTCGTAAACATTATTTTTATCATTTTTATGTATATTCATCTCTTTTTATATTATCTTTTTTATAATAGCTTATCTTTTTTATCTTTATTTTCTTTCTTTTCCTTTTGTTGGTGATATCATGTATCGATTCATGTTAGCCGACCACAATATATTTTGAGACTAAGGCTTGGATGTTGTTGTTGTTGTAATCAATAAAACACACAGAGTGACAACCGTTAAGCCATAAATAGCAAGTTTCAACACCAATGAAATTTGTTTTTTGAGGGTATCTACTTCGAAGGTGTGCAACTTGTCAAAGCTTGTTGGCTGATTCAGTCACATTAAAAAACTAAGATAGAAGTAAAAAATGAGACTTTAGTTTGAATCATATCCAACAAAGCCATACAGCTAAAGCTCATAAGAACTCTGGCTAAAAACTATCTTGTTCGGATGATAAATTTGAACAATATTTAAACGTCAAACCTTGAATAGAACAGAATCCATACATGTAAAAAAATACATATATGAGCTTTATGAGATATAATTACATTTACAACACATGAAAAATTGATCTTAAATGGAATGCCAGCATATGCAGCTTCACACTATTGCATAGTATCTCCTAACTCCAAAATAACATTTTTATCTCTACATTATATCGTAAGATCACAAAATTGCGTTGAAACAAAAAAACTAAGAATAAGATGTAAAACATATGAGAAGCACAAAAGTTTATTTGACTTGGTACCGTATATAAACTGTATAGTACGCAATAGAAATGAGGTTTCTAGATTATAATTTGCCAGTCTCCTTTTAATTTTCCACCAATAGCAGCACAACCCACTTCTTCCATCTTCAGATTACTAACCAATATTCCGTCAACATGTGAAAAGATAAAAGTTCGAAAATTGATTAAACCCCCCACACCTCCCGACCAAGCAAGACAGGCGCTCAACTGTTCATCATATAGGCGTCGATATGCATCACAATATTTAACATGAGGCGTTCATCGAAGAAAATGAATTGAATTGTTTTGTTTTTTACCTGCATCCATTTAGCAGTGTGAGAGGTGAAGATCTCGCTGCTAACGATGCCGGCGGCGCTGCCGTTAATACTCCTCGAACCGGAAGGGAAACTGGTGACCGGGGGTCTTAGATGGGGTTTCAACAGATTGGTAACCATCGCTACACCTTGCTTCCTCCCGAATGACGCCATAGCTATGGAGTTTAACTTGCAGGAGCGAATTAACTTCACCCCGAATAGTCCCCGATGATGCCTAGTTAAAATTTTCGGTTCCAATTTTTATTTATTTTTTATTTTTAAAATTTAAAAGTTCCGAAATAGATTAAGGGGATGATTGGAAAATCAAATACGGAGTAGTTTCTCATAATAATATCCTCCGACGCTCCGTAATATGGTCTCCTCCAGTAATGGAGAATTTTGAATTTCCACCTCACTTTTTGAGTAATATTGCATTTGTACTTTATCTTCAAAATTTTTAGACTTTGCAATCTATCTACCATTTTGTGAAGAAAAATTCTTAAATGGGGTACAAAGGCAAAAACATTTTAGGGTAAATAGGGTGCAAAGTCTAAGAGTTTTGAAAATGTGGTGCAAAGTTCAATATCATCCAAAAAGCGGGGTGCAAAATCAAAAAATCCTTCTAAAAAATCGCCTCCAAGAGTAACTTAGAACACCTAAAACGGCTAAAAGTATTTCCGTACTTTCACTTAAACACTCATATCTACTGTTGCTCCCTCAAGGAGAAAAAACCGTTTTAAGAATCAGGTTGAAACACACTCTAAGTAATATGGACTAAAATAACTAATAAGACTTCTTACCAAAATAAAAAACTAAGATTTTCCTTTCAAAAAAAACTAAAAAGAGTTTTTAAGTAAAATAAATCAAAAATGTTATAGTCACCCCAATTAGTACCCCAGTTTGTGCCCCATATAAAAACCCCTCTCTTTTTATCATTTTCCACCTCCAAACCAACGGCGGACACACATGGGGGCTATGGGGGGCTGCCGCCCCTCCAGAGAAAAAAATTCTAGGTATATTTACCCCGAAATTTTTAATATATATGTATTTGTATGTAAATACTTGTACTGCCGCCCCTGCTATCGGGAAATCCTGCATCTGCCGCTACTCCAAACATCTCTCATCCCACATCCCACATCCCCTCATCGTTGAACCCCTACCCTTCTTCCCCCAATTTTTTTTTCCGAACAAGCAAGCTAGCTAGAGTGAAGCAATGACGAATGATTTTACATCTTCTTCATCTTCTTCGTCTTTCATCTACGCCGGTGATGTTGGGTAGCTTGACATGGGGAGACAACGACGAAGATGAAGACCATGAAGCTTTGAATAACTTGAGCAGATCTTTTCTTGAATTTTTTTCTTGATTTTTGGTGTGTTTTCGAAATAAAAAGGGTTGTCTGTCTGACAGACAACTTGTAAGTGCAGTGTCTGTATTTGTTAGTAAGACTGGTGAAGTTGTCTATCATTTGAAAAAAAATTGTAATTGATGTTTAATTGTTTGTCATTTGCTTATTAGTTGTTTGTACGTAGTATTTGGTTTTCAGTTGTTTGTAATGACTTGTCTATCATGTATTTGTGAGGAGTCTGTAGGAGTTGTGAAGTTGTCTGTCACTTTAATAACACATGTTTGTAAGCCATACGGAGTATTTAGTTGTTTGTCAATTGATTGTGAGTTGTATGTAATTTGTGGTGTGTATTTTATGAGATGTAAGTAGTTGTCTTCAAAGTTGTCTATTGAATTACATTGGTTAATGCTTATAAATCTATAAAAATAATGTCTGTATAATTATCTCTATTGTCTGTCTAGATATATGTATTATCTATCTTTTTTATGGAACATGTGCCAAAATGGTAATTCAGAATAAAGTAATGTATGTATGTGTATACTTATTGTCAAATGACAAACAACTAAATATGAGTTACATACATGTATTTTTAAAGTGACAGACAACTTCATGATTCTTACGGACTCCTCACAATAACATGACATGCAAGTCATTACAGACAACTCAAAACAAATACAAACAACTCAAAACAAATATAGACAACTAACAAGCAAATGACAAAGCATACATCAATTACAAACATGTATTTTAATGACAGACAATTTCATGAGTCTTGCTAACAAATACAAACACTGCACTTACAAGTTGTCTATCAGACACACAACCATTTTTGTTTAAAAAACACACCAAACTATCAAGAAAAAAAAATCAAGAAAAGAAGATATGCTCAAGTCATTCAAAGTTTCTTGGTCTGCACCTTCGTCGTTGTTTTCCCTTGAGGTCTCATCCAAAACGGCCTCTGTTCGTTCAGCATTATAGCTCCCATTTTGGCATGAAAAAAAATGACGGAAGAGGGAGTAGCTGAAGACGAGAGACGTTGTGCTTGATATGGCTATGTTTCCTTCTATTTTATTCCAGTTTATAGAATAGGAAGAAACCATTAAAAAAGAGGCAAGAAGAAGATGGGGAATAAGAGAAGGAGCACTATGACGTAGAGAAAAGAAGAAAAGAAAGAAAGAGGGTGAGAGAGAGAGTTAGGGTTAGCAAAAGGGAGGTGAGGGGGTAAAGTTTGGGAAGGTTTTTTTATGGGGTACAAAGTGGGGTACTAATTGGGGTGACTATAGCATTTTTGAAAATAAATCTCCTAAATAGTTAATTTGAATTAATAATTAAGTGCTCGTAGTTAATAAATAACTAATTGCAAAGTAACACAAATATTCACGTATGGCCAGGAATATTTCAAAATATTTTTGAAAATAACTGTGTTTTATAGGTATATTTTGGTACAATTATCTTTAAAAATTATTTGATAATCTTTCTGATTGAATTTTGTGCTTCAATTTGGTGGACATCATCTCACTTAATGAGAAACATGGTAAAAAACAATCAGCAAAAAGTATCAGAAATCGCCTCAAGATGAGGTGGCTGGACCACCCTCCTGTTCAGCATGGCCGGACCACCCTCCTGGCAGGCCTGGCCGGACAAGAATACTACTTCGTAAAGCAGATAAGTAGATTTGTATAAATCAAAATAAAAGTTCGTATTTTAAATGACTTTAGTCATTATAAATTATGTATAATAAATCAAATGTATTATACAACGTAACTAATAAGAGCCATTGTTCTAAAATTCAGCCTAGTCGGACCGATTAATCGGTCTAGGTGGACCTAACTGTAGAGGCCTAGTCGGTCAAAAAATTGGCCCAGTCGGCCGCCTAGGCGCTAGGCGCCCCTCAACCGCCTAACTAGCGAGTTTTAGAACAATGATAAGAGCTAAAAGTAATAACCAAGCATTCCAGCCCTGTTAGTTGTGAGGTTACCGTGTCTAGTGAAGGTCTCAAGTTCGAAACCCGCTGACATGCAAGTCATTACAGACAACTCAAAACAAATATAGACAACTAACAAGCAAATGACAAAGCATACATCAATTACAGACATGTATTTTAATGACAGACAATTTCATGAGTCTTGCTAACAAATACAAACACTGCACTTACAAGTTGTCTGTCAGACACACAACCATTTTTGTTTCAAAAATGCACCAAACTATCAAGAAAAAACCCGCACATAAGAGTTTGAAATTCAATGGGCTGAGTTTCAGCTCTGATTACTCCAGCCCCCCTCCCCCAAACCCCCCTGGAGTAAAAAAAAACTAAAAGTAATAATGAATAGGGATTATAATTCTTGTAAAAAAAATAGTAATTATGATTGTTCTTTTTATTGTTGGAGCAACAACAACAAAAAATTTGTGTGGAAGATTGATCTCTTTTCAACCTTTCCTCTCCCTTTTTATCATTTACCTTCTTTATCTTTTTTTTTCTAGCTTTTTATACTCCTTTATCTTTTAATCTTATCTTTCTTATATTCTTATGTTATTATTATCTTATATTTATTTATATTTATCTTGTCTTCTCTTTTTGGCATTGTCATCATGGATCGAAGATTCATGTTAACCGATTACACAATTTTCTGAGATTAAAGCTTGGATAGTTGAATGTTGTTGTTGTTGTTTTATAGTTGCTTTATTTTTATTGCGGATATTTTTCTCGTAATTTTTTGGGATTAAAGCTTATGAGTGATTCCATTGGTATTTTTTTTTGTAATTACTTTTGTGGTGCTATGGAAAATTAGTTGTGACTATGGTAAGATGCCCATTGCTGATGAGGTGTTAGTATTGAGGAAATAGGTGACACAAGATTTATGATTCATTTGATCATTACATCGATATTAACCGAGTGTTCCAAGCTGGCCCTTGGCATTTTAACAGAATTCAATGATTATTAAGCAAGTGAAAGCGGTTGGTAAACCCCTAGAGATGAAGTTGGGTCATAATAAATTATAGATCTAGATTCAGAGTCTATACTTGGATTTCATGATGGAGAAGGTGACTAGATAGAGGTATTTGAAAATTGAAATTTTGTAGTATTCATGTTCTTATTGATAGGCGTACACTTGGAGTAGAAAATTCTTCCTATACTCATAGTAGGTCTCCATTAACACTAAGAGCACGTTGAAGAGAAGGAGGTTAGACAAAAGTGTGGGAATTGATTTTAGACAGAATTTAAGTATTAGAAGCCTCCCAATTTGTGTTTTATTTATGGAGTGTTAGAACTTATAATATACAGATCGCTTTTCCAATCTTGGATGTGTGTGGACATGCGTAGAGGAGGGTCGCACACGCACTTAGATGGTTCATCCCAAATAGGAAAAGATGTATCTGGCTTCAAATGAAAATGAGGGTAACCGAAAGCAAATGAGAGAAATGGGAGGGATCTAAGAAAGAAGAGGGAGATGTTATATGGGTGAGAGCTGAGAATAGTTTCAAGAGGAAAAGAGGTGTCTTGGAGCATTTGAGTTGTGCAAAATGGTTGAGATTCGTGGCAACTCATCCCTCCCAAAATCACTTCTGTTTTACTAGGAGCTTCGTGGAGATGTCTTATTTTAGTGTCATTTTTTGTTTAGAAGTGCTTTTATTTTATTTTTGTTCAAGTAAGTATGATTGGGATATTTGGATATTTGGAAACTTTTGATATAGCGAGTCAACTTGTTTTGTATGGAGTGTTGACTCTATTTCTTTTTCCAAGACATAGATTGAATATGTAACAGTTGTCAGGAATTGTGCATATTAATTTAAATCGTCTGTCAATTATTATCTCCACCTCATTAATATTAGGACATGAGAAGGTCATGCATATATTAAACAAATGGATTTATGTGATTGATATGAAATTGATAAATCTTTTATAAAGTAAAAATGATCTAGAATCATGCAAATTTTACAAAATTTAGTATGTAAGAATCTTAAAGAACAAATAAAAATGAGACATGAAAGGTGGGTGAAGTGTAATTCAAAAATATTTTTAGTGAGAGTATTCTATTAGAGTATTATCTTTGCTTA